AATATGCTTGCAAATATCAAGAGGGCTAAACCTCTGGCCTTAAAGTAAAAAAAAGGCAACCAGCAACTGAGTGAAAACTCGTAAAACTGCAGTGGCAAGTGGCTTGCTTCCTAAAACTCCTTCTCTCTTCCTCTTGGCAAAAAGCCACAACTTAAGTACTTGGGCGTTAGCAAGACAATTTGCATAAACAAGTTAAAGCATTTAATTCTGGCCGGAAGTAGAAAATAAGAAGTGATAGTACAGTTTTAAAATAAAATAAACGTTAGTAAAACTTAAGATCCTTACAATGTTATTTATTTTAAATTTTGCCTGAAGTGAGGCCTTTTCAGTTGTGAGTAGCAAGAATCTCTGAACTTAAGTATGCATTTATTCACATTGATTTTAAGTTCTAAAACAGAAATTCTGTTTTAGCCCAAGAGATTGATATTGAGGCAATGTTGGCGAAACTGTAAAGTAACTTTAAGCAACTTATGTACATATGATGTAAAGTTTAAACTAAATTTTCTTAAATTAATGGTTACTAAATTATTTTAATTATTGAAAATTTTTCATGTAGTATGTTTAACAGTTCAGTATCGCAAATTTTAAAAGTTCTGTTAATACATGTGTTAAAGCAAATACTTGCACAGTTGCAAGAATTGAAATCTTGCAGTGTGAATGAAATGTTTAAATGTAATCTAGCAAGGCAAGAGAAAATTAAGTTAAAAGCAAAAGCTAGCAGTATGCATGAAATTAAAGGTCACAAGCCAAGCTCTTCAGCCAACACTAAAGCTTAATTGCCTATTTTGTTAGCACATTAGGTGCAGTTTTGAAACTAAGGTTCTTTTTAGGTTTAGTGTGTCCAAGTTTCTAAGATGTAGGATGTGAATTAGATGGTAGTTTTGTACCACTTATACAAATGATGCTTGCTCATATATCTCAGTACATTTTACTGGAGAACAGTGGCGAAAATAATTTAAGTACAGAATAAATGAAAATCCATGAAAGTTCTGATATAATTTAAATAGAAAATTCAGATAAAGTGATGTGAATAGAAAATGATGGCATTTTTAGCCACTTCTGTTAAAATATTTTCCCTTCCAAATGACTGGAAAGGGATAAGTTGCTGTTGTGATTTAGACTGCATGTGCAAAGGTTCAAGATATTGTAAAATTTATTTTATAACTAGTTGTAAATTCTACTGCTTGTAAGTAGTTGGCTCATGGTTAAATAAAATTTAATTTCTTAACAAGGTCATTAAATACTTTGTTGTGATTATTTAAATTCTCACAGAGAAAAATGAAAATGTAATGTATTTATTTATTTTAATTAACCAGTTGTTTTATGTTCTGAAACCTTATAGCCACTTCTCTCTTTCCATTTTCCTGCCAGAATGCAAATTTTAGTTTCCATGTATTTAAGTGAGGATTTGAGATTGTTTTAGTCAGAGCATGTTCTACCTGATGAAGAACACATTTCTAGTTGATATTTGATGATAGCATTCCTGTCTATGGTGTTTCTTTAATCTTTCAAATAATGTTGTCAACCCAGTGTAGGTTTGAGCCAACTTGCACATTTAATGCTTCTGTGTAGCCTTTGGCTAACTTAGTGTTAATTTAAAATTCTACTTTTTGAATTTATGCCGGAACGGCTGGCTGGTTTTGTATGCACTAGGAGTGCTTTCTGTTCAACTTCTTTCAGTTCTTAATTTAAAAGGGTCTTTTATACCATTCCTACCTTTTTGTTTGCTTAACTAGACATAGTGATGAGTCGCTTAGTTCTACTTACAGTCTTGTTTTAGTGTATGTTACCAAAAGGAATGAGATTCTACAAGCTCCATTTCGAGATTTTCAGGAGAATTACACACATTCATTTTTGGTATGAAAATATCGTAAAATTGGTTTCCAAACTATTAAAATCTTAAATTTATTCTTCTTATAATAGTTCTAATTAATTTATGAATGGGAAATGTATTCGCAGTCCACATAAAATTTCTCTGGGGGGCATTAGTTCGAGACGATCTCAATAAGCAATATGTAGGTTTTCTTCTATCCCTAGTCATGATGTGGGTTAGAAAGACAGAACTTATCTAAAATACCAATGCAGCTTCTATGTTTTTAATGGGTTCTTTGGCACCTAACTGGCACAAATTTTTTGCCATGGGTAATAATATTTTGTTATATGAAATTATGATACTTGAGGAAATCATATAAAAAATTTATAAATAATGGCAGGTTGATTGCATTGCGTGACTTCATCTATGCTGCAAAGCAATTTATCCATTACAATGAACAACCAGTTATAATACCCTCTTCGATATTATCCTTCTACTCTTGAACTTTCAACGCCATGATCTCATTGTTAATTGATTTATTAAATCAACATATGAAATATTTATACATTACATATTTCTATGATTTGATGGTGTATTTCATGTGATTGAATGTTAATTCTGACAATAGCTCTCACGTCTCACTTGGTTAGATTTTTGACCTTATAGTTTATAATTCAGTTGCCCACACTGCATGTACAGTCATTACCACACAACCACAAGCATGTATACATAAATTTACACACATTTAACATATACTTGGCTGTCATTTGCAAATCATAATGTAAACTCAGCACCCTTTTATCAATGCATTGGTCAGAGATGTGTAAAATGACGCTATACAGAAACTTATTTCCTAGTATGATAAATATCTTTGCGACATGGAAGTCTATGTAAAATATATGTGTGTTTCTAGTACACACTTTTGAAATAAAAAGAATCTGTTCAATTACTTACATTACATTTTTATTACTGGATAAGTACTACTTTCTGCACATGCCCTGTATTCACAAAGGCTCAAGACAAATGGTCTCTATATCAAATGTCTAGCATTTTATATTTCATGTACCCTTGAGAACAATTGGGTTCAGTATGATCAAAATAAAATCATGAAAACCAGTTTCCAAATCAGTGGAGTGAGATATTCTCGACCAATGGAGCGAGATATTCTCGACCAATGGGTAGAGATTAGAGATAGATTTATGCTAAAAACAGAGAATTTATATCAAAAACATCATAGAAAGAGACCATGTGGTATTACTAAAATCATTATATAAATAGACATACTGAACAAATCCCCACATCTTTAACACAAGTATTCTCAGTGTTTAAAGCAAGGATAGGTCAGCCCAGTCTCCAGATATGGATCCAACAAACAAGTCCGAGATGCATTGAAAAAGCAAATTGCATTATATCAGCCACTGTTAAAGAAGTCTTTAAAGCTCTGAATGTTTTCATGAGTTTATTGCCTGAATATAGCTTTTAAGTATCATGATAAGAAGCATTTAAATAATCAATATAAGGTTTGCATGGCTAGATGGTGTTACTAAAACCCTAATCTTAATCCTAGAGCACCATTCTTCCCCATTTTAATATACTGAGAACAGAACTCATGTTTTGTTAATTTTTTAACATTCCCACAATTAAATGCGATAAAATTTTCTTCACTTTCTTTTCTGCTAGATTAGCAGTTGTGTTAAATTTTATGATATTTCTACAGTTGTTTAAGAAATATTTAAATGCATATTCATGTTTAATTTTCATTCATGAATATTTTTATATTTCCTATCTAATTAACTAATAATGAATATTTTATTTACTGACCCTTTATGGATAACAGACAAAAAGTCAAATTTTGTATCTACAAACTCATACACACACCAAACACAGAAAATGTTTCATTTTGTAAAAGGTATTCAAGAAAGCTGGTGAATGCTTAATTTTCTTAAATATTAATCCTAGACATATACTTCACGTTACAGAGTTCCCAAAAATAGATATGGAATTTTGAAATTCAAGAATTAAGATTTATAAAAATTTTAACAAGATAATCAAATTAATAAAATATTACACATGCTTTAAGAAACTAAATATAAAGCGTTTCAGACATAATAACTCAGCATGAATAAGTTTAGTAAAAATTATTGATGTTGGGGAAAATACATAATTTATTCTTTTTAAAGTTAAGGGAAAATAAATAATTATTTTAAAATTTCTGCCTTATTTTTTTTTAACTAGTAAAATTTCAATTACTTGGTATTTAATTTATTGAGATTATATTTAAGCAATATAATATACTATGCTAATTTCACTCCATTTTTTAAAACTTTGATGGAATAACATATCAATAAATTCCTTGTTTGTTAACTTCTGAATAACATTTTATACAATGACCAACTGACGTTGACCCCTTTTTGATAAGTCGCTTGGAAGTCATTATAACTGCTGCATAAATATGAAATTAAATTCCCATTTTATACTTAAAAAGTATCTTCCATGAAATACATACTGAATTAAAGAAATATACAATATACGATAAGAAACAAAAATTTCAGAAAACGTGTTTTTTTAATTTAGGAAAATTTATATTCATACAAACAAATACAAAATGCATACATAATATAATTTTGAGAAAATAAAATTTAAACATTATTTTATACAATTATGGATTAAAAAAAAGATTAATCTCAATGCAAAGCAAATTTTTGAAATATCTCTTTCATGCAGTTAGTTCCAATGAAAATTTTGAATTTATGCATTCATTAAAAACAGAAAATTTTCATTTTCATACACTACTACTCAAACACATAAAAACACACATAACTAATTTCAGTAAATGAAAAGGCAGACCATCTTTGACTAACAAATAAAATAAAGAAATAAGTCTATTTATAAGTTCTCAAGAAATGTAAATTTTGGTATAAAGGATTTTTTTAAACCTTTTTTTTTTAAGTGCCTTCTCATAAAAGTAACAATTTATGCATATTACTTAATTAAACTAAGCAAACTTATTTGTAAAATGTTTTTTAAATTATACGGAGACATCAAATTTTTTTATTTAATATATGTTTCGATTATCTCCTCTTAAGAGAGAGCCAATTTATTACTAAATAATAAGTAAGGAAATATATCTATCTATCTATCTATTATATAATATAATTAAATTTCTTAAAAGTAATACTTTCCGTACCTTGATCTGGTGATAACAGGAAAAAGTTGCAACAAGTAGGCATGTTACCCTACTAAAGAATGTGAGGTTTTCATTAATTTATCAACTATTACAAATACATATCTAAATTTCAAGAATTGAAAAAACAACAAAAATCATGCCTTTTCTGTTCAAAAATAATGAACATTTGAAGTAATCAACAAACTTCAAAAGAGGAAAAAAATTCATCCACCAAATTTATAAAACAGCAACTACAAATAATATGGTAAAATAAAGAAAACTATACCTTCCTAAAAGTATGAAAATACCATAATTGAAATACATTTAATAAAAAAAGCATGAAATTAGAACTCTGTGTATTAAAATTTAAATTACATAACCATATCAATAATAGGTCCAATTATTTAGACTACTCTCGCAAAAAATTTCCAAAGCAAGAACAAAAATTAAAATGCTTAATTAATGTAACAAAACTGCAGAAAACATAGCCATCAGAATTTCAAGAGATATGAATGATTAAAAACAAAAGGGAATTTAATAATTATAAAAATATAATGATCTTAATGCTTTAGTTCGTTTCCTTTAATTTTCTTATTTGTCATGAAATTTGAGATTTAAATTAAATACAATATATGCACAAAAGTTCATAGTGCCAATTATGGATGACCAAAAGTTTATAGTGCCAATTATGGACGACCACTTCTTTTAGAATTCTGCAGTAATACTGGTAACTGTTGTGAAATTTCCACCAATGGTCAACAGGATAACATGTGAGTACCACTTGAAATTTTCCCACTTCAAATATTAATTTTATGTAATTTTTCATTGACAGTTTATTTAATTTTTTATGAAATTTCTGTTATAATGTTTTTAGACATAATAGTATATTTTTTTTAAAAAAATTTCCTTGAAAAATGCTTTGATTTGATTGAATTTCAGTATGAATGTCATAACACAAATCACTGTAAAACTAGTTTAGCAGAATCATTAGGCAGCATGCCAATATGTAAATGAATTTGAAATTTTTATTTAATTAAAAACAAAAATGTTTTTCTTAATTACATGTATTTCCCTCATCCTGCTTATATTAATTATTATATAAAAATTATGTTGAATAATGTTTTACATGTTTTGAATGATAATCTGCTAGCAAAATCCAAAATGTTTTTACAGGCTCTTCAAGCATCACCAAAAAAATCAATATAAGAACTTAAAAAAGAGTTGAAACAAAACTAATTGCATAACACTTTAAAAAGTCCACCCCTTTAATATCTATATTAATTAATTAAAAAATGATTAAAAAATAAATGCAAATAAATCCATTAAGTTAAAAAAAACATGCTGTAAGTATGAAAAATATTACTTAGGAAACACACAAATATAAATTATAAGCACAACAAAGCAATATATCATGTAGTTAAAAACCTGGTTTTTTATAGAACATGTAAATGAAACTGGAATTTTTCATAAATGAAAAATAACACGCTTTTATTTCATCCATAATTTGAAAACAAAAAATTTTCAGCAACTCCTTCCCCTTCTTGCTCCCTCCCAAATAGCAAGGTTAATCTATAATATGAATTCCTGTATGTTATCATTCAAACATTTTATTGATAGCACAAATATATTATCAGCCTTTCCTTTCTTAATGTAAAATATTCATTTGCTAACAAACTACAAAGCAGAAGTTATTTCAGTTGATATCTCAGCTGCAACAATTACAATTTCGCAATAACATATTTTGCATTTTTAACAGATCCTTTTTATCTCCTTTTTATCCTTTTTATCTTATATAAATAAATTCAAACCTTAAAAATTTCTTATTCCAAATATAAATATTGTTAAGTTATAATGTATCTGTCATAATGATCAATATTTTTTTTACATGTATCAAATAGTTATCCAACTATCATGAAGCTGAACCACAGAAAGCCCAGTTTCAGATATAATACATACCTTGTAATGGTAACAGAGATTTGAAAATAATCACAAAATCATTTACGTGAAGTGAAGAAAGGAAACTATAAATTAATATTTATGGCACACTCTTTTATAAAAATATATTAGAAAAATATGACGACACAGAAATCGATTATATATTTAATCACCAAAATAAATCTATTACCCTGCATGATACATTCATATAAGTCTCATCTATGCTTATTACACTTTGTTTTATCAGAGAAAAGAATATCATCCTATAAAATCATATCCTTTTTCACTTAATTAAACATCACACAATCAAGAGTCAAAATGCAATTCACTTGCATCTATATATAATACACATTCTGAGACCCAGGATCATCAGGACTTAGGCTATTCCAGATTTCGGAAATTTCCGGATTTTAGATCACTAATTTAAATTGAATGAGATTAGATGGGAAAATTACAAATTATGAAAAAAAATTAAATGATGAAACATTTATGATGTTAAAAGTAGTCTACACCAAAGTCTACAACAACAACAAAAAAAAAAAATAAATAAAAATAAAGGGAGAGGGATTAAAGAAACTCTCAGTATTAACATAAGTAATGTTTCATTAAACATTTCTCAATGCAAGTGCAGGTAGGTTTCCTAAAACACAGTACCTTTACAATGCATTTTCACTCCAATGTGGTTAGAAAAATGTGAAAATTTTCTTAACAATGCGGTACTTTTGCACCGCTGTTTCTGAAATGTGTGGCAGCTCACCCTAGTTTCCAGTTGGATAAACCTTTAAAAAGCTTTGGTTCCATAATTATTTTGTTCTGGATGCAGAAAATTATTTAAAAAGAAGAACTTAGCATTCAAAGTTGGCTCATCCCTAAAAGAAATGCACCAATGGACTATAAATGCTTCCTGGAAAACTTTATTACCCGAATAGGTCAGTCAGGATAACGTTGTTGAGCCAATTCAAAGTGAATATAACACAGTAAACCTTACATACAAAATAGTAGGAGATGGATTCACTGAAATAACTGTTGATGATATTCTAAAATTAGTTATGGAAAATGAAATAAATGAAGGAGATTTGGTGACAGTTATATGCAAAACATTACTGACTGAAGATAATTCTAAGGATCTTTTCAATAAAGAAACTAAAAGCTTCACTTTAAAAGGTATAGAAAAATGTCCGGACATGGCAAAACAGATGGAATCTTATTTTTTAAAGAGCAATCCGCTGCCGGAGAGAGCAGAAATGTTTAGAAGAAATCTTAAAATTGCATATCTACCTATTAAGAAAATTATAAAAATTTGCAAAGCAAGAGCACACAATCTCTAATGACAGTTTTTTTTTTTTTTTTTTTTTTTTTTAAATCTAAACCTACAGGCAGTGCAGTGGAACTTATTGATGAAACAAGCTCAGATCTTGAAATAAGGCCAGTCAAACATTTTCGAAAAACTATAATAAGTTATGATGAGGAATCAATTTGTGAGCACAACATTGTTTCTTTTTTATTTTGATTTGAAATCATAATCTTTTTAATTTTTATATGATGATGAATTTTATTTAAAATTTTGTGAAATGTTTTCATGTGCATAAATTTAAAAAATGATAAAAATGTTACACCATAAAAGGCAGTTTTTCCCTTTTTAGAACTGAATCCGAGTTTTTGTATTAAGTCAGAGTTTCCTATAATGCAATTTTACACAATGCTGAATTTTTAAGGAACATATCTATCACGTTGTAGGAAGACTACCTGTAGTTTAAACAATTTCAGGTACTTTTCCGTTTCGCCAGCGCAAACCTTGCCATTTCTGTTTCTCCATTGCAAATCTCGCCAGGCAGACTTTATTGGCGATAACACACAGTATACAAATAAAAAATGTTAACAAATGTTGATTATAAGAATTTTTTTACTTTGGAGGCATAAATATTTTAATATTGTTTAAAATTTTTTCAAATGGGTCTTTTGTGTCCTTTCGCCACATAAATTTGGCGAGGTAACTTTCCAGATGATGACGCGCCGTTCCTCTCTGTTTCTTATAGCGCCATTTGGCCCTACCCCATAGTCTTTCTATTTTTTGCATGTATGTTCCAGTTTCTGGATTTACAAAACTGTATTTATGGTTCACTTTGAAACGTTCAAAACTTTCCTCTTCTAGTTTTTCAGTGCAATATGATTTCCATGAATCAGAATACATTGTAGTTCCTTTTTTGATATTTTCCTTTATTGCCTCTAATATAATAGTCATGTAGGAAGCATTCGTTTGTTTCATGGTGAATTCACCAAAGATGCACTGTTGTGGTAAAATCCGTCCTGCATTGTTCATGAACATACTTTCATCCACTTCAACAATCATACCAGGTCCTCCCATTTTGCGTTGTTGACATTTAAGTAAAGAATCCACACAAATCTCTTGCATGTAGTTATTCCAATCTACAACTGTTCCATGACTGATTTCCAACTGCTTTTCACACCATTTAACTGAAGTTAATTCTTCACTCCAACCATAAAACCATGTGCCTTTTCGTATACTTCTTTTACTGCGGCAAGTTGAAAGGTTGCAACGCCATTGAATTTCGTCTCCGAAATATAATTTCATTTCATAATTATTATCACAAATAGCAAAGTTAGGCAAAACGCCTTTCACTTGAAAGAACCCAACAGATTCTTCCTCTGTCCTGGCCAAATCCCAAATTTTCATTGGTTTTTCATCAATTTTTGACATATTTGTAAAAAGACATTAATTTAAAAATTTACTATGCTTTCATGGTACATCTTGATTCGCCGGTTCATATCACATGATCCCAAATGATCTCCTCTCACGCAAACTACACTACAAAAATCTGATTCTCTCAGTAATTATCTACATTACTTTCAAGTTAAATCTTAGTATAGAATTCGAGTTGAAATGCAAGAACTATTTCAATATTATAATTAAAAAAATTCTATGTAACTGTATGCCAACATTGAAAGAAACGATCAATCTGATAAGAAATAACAGTGACTTGTTTTGAAAAAGTGGTGTGAAAGGTTATCAGCGAGGATATTCGGTTTGGCATCGGTTGTACCATCTTCGGCGATTTTATCGCTTGCGCTGGAGGAATGGAAAATTGCGCTGGCCAAATGGAAGAGTACCTAATTTCATTTTACGTGTTAATCTGTAGGGTTTCTCGTGCTCAAATAACCAATTATTCTAATTTTTTTTCTTTTCTGAACTCCTTAACTTCCCCTCGCATTTCCTTGCCAGGACGCAAATTACGTGAAAATGAAAAAAGGTATTTAAACGGGCAAAGAGAGAAAGTTAGTCACAGCGTAATTTCACTAGACTAGCGCACGTTGCTATTTTGACCTTCTGCTGTTATTCTAAGTTGCTGATTGCCTTCTGGCCATTTAGTTAAAATCTACTGCTAGTGTAGTAGCCCCTTATGTGCTTTTTCTTCACACCTGTGCGAGAAGTTGCCAGGTTCCCTAGTAAGATCGCATTAACTGTATGATAGCGAAAAAGGTTAGATCTTAGGTTTCTTTTTAATTTTATATAGCAACACAGCTTCTTGTTGAGTTACAAAGTTTCATACTTTGCCTTACTGAGAAATGCCCTCAAGCAATCATTTGATATTTTTTCATTCTCAACAACATTTTTATCACATTCTTCACTTTTTTTAAAAAAAAATTCAAATGGAATTTTATGACTTGAGATTTGCCAAGAGATGAACAAGTTGCATAACAGAATTACAAACTAATGAAATTAAAATGTGACTAGAAACCAAAATAGCTATATTTTCTACCAGTATTCCTTGGTTAATTGACAGATGTAGAATTTTCAAAGAATGAATAAAATCAAATAGTTATCTTTCACTAAAACTTTATTTTTTATAACAGTCATAATAAAAGTCTAAAGAAAATAATACACAGCATGAAATCAGAAAGTTAAGAAAGAGCGCAATTTGCAGTGGTAGCTGATTTCAGTTAATTGAGATCTAATCCTTTCTCCCTTCTCTGATATGCCAACAAATGAAAACCACTATGCACAGCATTCCACTTCAAACATCGGTTTTCAAATTTCACTCATTGTATTCAGAAATAAGATAAAAAAATACTGACCCCCCCCCATACAAGGTCTGCAAATAAAAATGTGATTTGTTAGCCGGGTGGTGAAACAACATGCAGGATCATTCAATACTATTCAGGATAATGATGATTTTAGACCAAACAAATATCTCAGCTAATCGGGCAAAAATGACACACTTGGGTTTTGGCATCATATTTATCATCCCCTCCCCCAAAAAAGAAAGGTTTTATAGAAGGTTTGGTACTTTTCCGTTTTGCAGGCGCAAGCGATAAAGTCGCCAATAATGGTACAACCGATGCCAAACGGAATATTCTCGCTGGTAACCTTTTAAGCCTCATTTTCAGAACAAGTCGCAGCTTTTTCTTATCAGATTGATGTTTTCTTTCAATACTGCATATATTACATAGAATTTTTATCAGATAGTTCAGTTTTATGTCTAAGGCCATTTTCGGTAATTAAGTCATTAGGATGCAATCACAGCGCTTAATCCGAAGCCGAAAATATAGAAAAGGTAAAGTCAAGGGTTAAATTCATCAATTCTAATGAGAATGCATTAGCGAAGTAAAGCCCTGCAGTTTTACATAATTTTTAGTAAACTATTCGTACGAATTGAAATATTTCTTGCAATTTAAACTTGTGTTCCCAAATTAAGAATTTAAGACGTGAATTATGATATAATTATGAGAGCATTAGATTTTTGTAGTAGTGTTACGTGAGATGAGATCGCTTGGGGGTCACGTGATATGAACCAGCGAATCAGGATGTTAACCATGAAAGCATAGTAAATTCTTAAATTAATGTCTTTTATAAACTTATTGTCTTTATTTATTGGCTTTTTATAAAATTTTATGCGATATTAAAATGTTTATGCCTTCAAAAAAAGAATTCTTAGAACTAACGTTTTTTTAATATTTATGTGTATACTGTATGTTGTCGCCAATAAAGTCTGCTTGGCGAGATTTGCGCCGGAGAAACGAAAAAGTACTGAAGGTTTGAATAATAGATCGTTCCAGTTATTAGATATTCAGATTTTGGACATTGTACTATACATATATATTTGACATAAATAAGTCTACTTTTAAAGTTTGTATAACTACACTGCTTTATTATGCAACTTTAACAAAAAGTTAAAATGTCAGTTAATTTTGCAACCATGGTTATAACCCCTGTAACCATGGTTAAAATCCTCACAGTCTAAAAGTAATTAACATTCAAAAATTATAAGTATATAATAAAAAAAACAGTACATAATATTTATTTTCTTGACACAACAAATTATATAAGATTTATAAACACAGCTATGCACACAAAGTTTTTTAAAATTTAATTTATGTGTTTTCAGGCTAATACTCACTTGTATCTGTCATAATAATAGAGTGAAATAAAATTTCAGTATCCATAAAAAACCTAAAGATTTCATGCTTGGTCTATCTTCTGCATTTGTATGACTCCTTGAGCATCAAAACTAGACATTAAAAACAGGATATTAGAATAAAGTGAGACTTCAAATAATAAACAGTGTAAAAGCAAAAACTGTATTAGAATTTCAAATATACAACAAATATTCTTCTACTGAAGGCAATTAAAGCTACAGTTCAATGTTTATTTTATAATTTTACAAAATAGCTTCATTTTTTAATTGTGTCATAAATAGGCATGAAGATGACATTTTTCTATATCCATTAGTTTACAATTTTCTTCTTTACATGAAAGGAGGAAAGATTACTTTGATTAATTTTCAAATTAAAAGACAGAGAAAATAAAATATGATGATTTGCATTACATAAATAGCAAACTCATTTATATTTTCTGCCTAGAATTTGCTTATGGATATCATTGAGTTTGCCTTTATGGAGTTCATAATTAATAATCATATCAAATCTCTCTATATATACACACACACAGATATATATAATATAACTATTTGAAAATAATATTTTTTTTTTCTATTTGAAATTTTAAGAAAACATTAATTAGAAAAATTCAGTGAGAAATGATATTTAAATCTTACCTATTAAAGAATATTTCAGGCAAATTACAGTTTTGTATTTTTTTAAGTCTGTATTTATGTTAAACTTTACAACCATTTAATCTTACAAAAATATGTTTTATGTTTCCATGCTTTTTTAGTTAAATAATACATATTTTTTTTTAAATTTCAGAATAGGATTGTTTTATGCAGATCATACAAAGTATCCATCAGCTTTTTCTTAATTAATTTAATGATTTCAATTCTCATCTTTACTTTCAAAGAGAATAGAACTTTATCTCATAATATCCACCCCTCTGCTGAATTTGCTCAATAAATGTGGCTTATACACCATTTTATGTTTAAGGCAATTATACCGAATGTGGGAAAAAACTTGAATTATGGAAAATGAGCTACCTCTGTAGCTAAATTAGTCATATGAATATACAAAGCAATAGATTTTACAAATCAAACCTTTCAACATATATATAGTATATCTTCTATATATATAAGCGGCTAAAATGTATGTCACCGATAGTTTATTGTTGCCACTTAGAAAAATGAGAGCGGAAATGAACGTTTTTGCAGTTTTTAATTAATATCTCGGCTGATTAAAGTCGTACGAAGATGAGAACGGTATCGATGGATTCGAAGAATTTTTTTGAATCTGAGGATATGCGTCTCGAATTCCAATTTGGCGCCGTTCTGTAGATATTCGAGAAAAAAGAATTTGGCACGTAGCCAAATCCTTCTAATAGGGAAAACCCAAGGAAAAAAGTGGAGAATGTAGGAAAAACGTAGGGGAAAATTAATTTTTAATTAATATCTCAGCTAATTAAAGTCCCAAGAAGATGCGAATGGTCCAAATGGCATGCCACGGACCTGCGGAATCCAACGGTGTGCTTTCTTTGTTAAGCCCGGGAGCCAGCCCATTTCGGAGGAGATGATGTTACTTCTTCCCATATATATATGCGGCTTAAGTGTCTGTTTGTTGCCGATAGTTTATTGGTTGCTTGCGTAACTGTACTATCCAATGGGGTGAAGTTGCCACGGCACAGGGCTGCCATTTCAATTCAGACATAGACAATTTCCTGTAAAACTTACCTTTGTTATGACCATTAATAAGTCTCAGGGCCAAACACTTAAACGTGTTGGCATTTTTTTACCTGAGCCTGCATTTGGACACGGTCAACTTTATGTTGCCCATTCAAGAGTTTGTGAAAGAACGAACGTAAAATTTAAAATAACTGATGGTCCTCAGCAAGGCAAGCTTAAAAATGATGGAAAGATCTACACAAGAAATGTTGTGTACAAGGAGATCTTTGACATGTGAATTAACATTTTAATTTAAATCACCTTTATTTATTGAGCTAGCAGTGACACTTAAAAAATGTACCGCCAGTGGTTTCCTTTATTACACTCTACTTTAAGCAATTAAGCAAGTAGAAAGGGGGATACCCCATGGGGCAGTAAGCAAAGGGGCGTCCTCACCGCCTGCCCTGGGTAAATCAGTTTGAATTTTTAGTTTTGCAGACACCTTTGCACAAATCATTTTAACTTACAATTTTAATATCTAGAAGAGAGGTCATTTCGTATGACCGGTCTGCTGGGCTTTCTAGTATTATAATAGGTAGTCCAGCATTTATTCCATTTTTGGTTTCTTTGGATTGCAGTTGCAATGTCCTCATATCTTGATTTCTTTGGTTTTCAGAATGAAGAGGTTATTTCAAGTTAATTAATTTATCAATAAACACTTTATTTTCCAATAATTCCCATCAAAATTTTTTAGCACATTTAGCTTAAATCTGTAATCATCGCCAAGCATAATGTCAACATAAAAGTTTACCATACTCCATTATTCAATTACTAACATAAAAAAATTGTTTAGGCATCGCTACTTGAGTCATTACTCAAGTTGTCATGTTTTGATAAACATGCGGTGATGAAAGGAAATTATAGGAAATAATGATTCATCAGGTTGGCGCCAGATCAGCAAAGTATCTATGTGGAATGTTTCGGTTTGAAATGTGAGCCAAGCAGATATGCAGCTATGGAGCCAAATTACTGATCGTACAAATGTATGCTAAAATGATTGTTTCTTCAATAACAATATATTTTGTTTAGTGTCAAAGTGAAATTAAGAATCGGGACTATCCAGATGTTTTATTATGCACAGAGGGGGAAATTAAACGTGCATGCGTAAAGCCTATGAGAAAAAAAACTTTATTGGTTGTTTTGAGGTCCGGATTTTAGATCATTCTGGATAATGGACGTCTGAATTTTGAACTTTGTACTGTATATGATTATGGCTTCAAAAGTTATATGCATTTAATTCTATAATTCACAAAGCATAAAACTTTCCTAGGCCATTGGCTGCCCGCATACTTTCCTAAGATTGACGCTTCCAAATTAAAAAAAAAAAAAAAAACTCAATGATTAATATTTTTATTTCATACTAACTAAGTATTTACATATGACAAACTGTATGAAAAGTACTTACGAGGAATTTAAAATATTTAGGCTCGGTATCACGAGAGTCTAGCCACCCCTCATTTTGGCCGCCTGCGTACTTTTATGTGTTGCACTCCTGCTAGGAACAGTCCTGGGTAAATGCATTTTCTGCAGTCTTTGAAAAAAACTGAGTTAACTGGAATAAAAATGTATTTCTGCCAAATGTTTTGTGAAAATTAGGCTTAGCGAGCACACACTCACTGTTCTGCGGAGACATCACAGAAGCTCAGTGCTCCATCTCATAGTGACAAGACGTGAGACTGGGGTGCCATCCAGAAAGGGTTAAAGATATATTGGGAGTTACAATAAAAAGTCAGCAGTCACACACAGGAAAAGCAGATAACTTTGAATTATGTATATTAAACATTTAAAATATTACATGAGTTGTTCTTTATACATGCATAAACTACATTAGACCAAAGTCAAAAAAATTATAGCAATAGGAAATCAATTTAAAAAGGAGTAAAATGAATATAAAATTTTTGAAAAGTTCAAAAATTATACACTAATAATTAAATTTTTTTACAAATGGAAAACAGATTATGATCAGCTTTAATGTGCTAGAAAAATGCTCAGGGCTCAGGATTTGCATTTGCCAAAAAAATTAAAAATATATAAATATGCATGCTGAATTTTTATATTCTTTTACTTTTTATATTTATCTGAATTTATAATTATGTTACTGGCAAAGTTTGAAATTGGGAATTCTATAGAATGCTTATTGTAAAGCATAAAACTACACGGCAACTTATGAAACAATTCATATTTCAAATATTTCCTAGGCATTTTATAGAATGTCAAATGATAAACTGGCAAACTATGAAATATATTTCCGATTCATTATGAAGAACTGAAACTACTTACCAGAAATTAATAAATAATGTGAAAAAGACAAAATGACTTCTAAGAGGAAACCATGGGACTACTGACTGCTCAATCACCAGGATGTGATGTTTGTGGAAAAGAAAAGTACATTCATTTATCCTATTAAAGAAAGCATCAGTACTATACAGAGCTACATAACAGATGCTGGTTTATTTCCCGTACTTCATGAAAACTCATTTTAGTACTGCACGCAGACAATGAGACAGAATGTTGAAAGAACTTTCAACCAAATACAAAAGCATTCATATTGAACTGTATAACCACCTTTGTGAGCCCTGCCAGAAAAAACAAAAAGGTATTAAAAAGGGCATTGTTGTGAAACATGATCGTTTCTGAATTTAATTTCCATTGTCAAGTAGATCATACAGATTCCTAGTCTCAGCCAGAAAGAAAATATATTATGTTGTATCAAGTTCATCTCCCTATTTCTTACACATTTTGAATAATAGTTTATTAATTTTTGAAAATAATATTTGTATTTTTGAGGAATGAACATGTTTCAAATATAAGCCTTTTCATAACCTTTTTTCATACTTTGCATAAAGAGTATTTGTCTTTCTACAGAATGCCTAGGTATTATAATACAATGTCTAGGGAAAGTATACAACAATTCTATTTCACAGTTTGCCTAAAAAGTATGGCATTATATATGCTGCCGGTAGCATATATATGTATGTATTTGATGAAAATTACACCAATACTAAAATCCAAATGACATAAAAATAAGGCTCTACTCTTATATGCGCTCTAATATTAGCAAATGTAGCGATATGTGTTCTGCACTGGTTTTTATCACGTGTGCATGTTGTATGGCAACACTGTTGACGTTGAAAAATCTTTTGCTGGAGTGGTTTAATTGCTTGTTGGTTCGTGTCTTGTGTGTTTTGAAATGGCGTATGTTGGAATGATAGATGTGGTGGCAAGATTTCAGTCATAAATTTTAGATTGTGTGGAAAGTAAATTTCGTATTAAAAGGTACGATGTTGGAGTTGTTAATGAGTGTTTTGTTCATGGATGTGTTTATGAGGACTGAAGTGTATTTTTGGAATTTCCGAGGGACTTTTGAAACAGAGTCCGAAATGTGGAGCTGCTATGAGAACTGGGATGAAGAAGGGCGTTTCTGATAGTTCTTGTGTAGATTTGCAGCCAAATAGTTGCTGGTAAAGTATGTGGCTGTCAGTGGAGTTTAAGATTTGGATTGTGGTTTTCGTGTAGTATGTTAACTTTGGAGGAAGATTTTATTGTTAATTTTTCGAAATTTTGAATCTCAGAAAGACATGTGCTATAGCAAAATCGTGGCACTTTTGTTCAGAGACAATGTATGACTGGCAAAATTTTATTCAGCAATGTATTCAGGTACGTAAGTGCATTTTATTTTGTAGAATCTTATGTTCATTGTTTTTTCTATGAATTTTTTTTATTGTTTTTTGAATTGTTTGTAATTTAGTTTAGTTTATTTGGTTGATTTGTGCTCAATGCCTAGATTGTGCAATTCGTAGATTTTTTTTTAAGTTTAAACAGAATGCTGTGTACATGGTATTCTTTGAAATTTATTGTTAATTTATTGAAGCGAGGGTGGCATAGTTCATAGATTCCTTTACTGCCTAGAATGTGCAATTCGTAGATGTTTTTTTTAAGTTAAAACGTATCGCTATGCACATAGACACTTGTCAAATATTTTTTGTTAGAAACTTTACGTTTTTGCTATCTAAATTTTTTGTTTTTGTTTCGGATTTTTAGCTTAAATTGTGTCTTCAAAACGTGGTTTTTGCATGTGTGAAAACCCCGTTTTTGGAGACATTTTAGGCTTAAAATACGAAATGTAGACAAAAAATTTAGGTAGTAAAACGCGGCGTAGGGTTTCTTGCCAAAAATGTTTGGCAAAAAATTTGCCGACCTGAGGGTGCATATAAGAGTAATTCCAAAAGTAATTTATATGGTTATATATTTTAACAAATCATGGTTAAAATGCAATCTGACAAAAGATCCATCTAAAATACTTTTGATACCTTAATAATTGAGAACTGAATAATTAAGAGATATCTGATCTTTTTTTATGAACAAAGTAGAAAAAGCTCCAGTGGAATAATGGGTACTTTTACACCCCACTCCCATACCCCTCCCCAAAAAAGGAAAAAGAAGTTAGTATGTTTTTATGTACATATCATGAAAATAAGTAATATTTCTACAATATTCAGATGTTGTATGCTCTAAAAACAATACATATCATAGAACACTTAAATTACGATTAAAATGTCCTCCTCTATGCTTTCAATGCAATTTAAAGCACAAGCATTAAAAACTGTATTTAAAAGAGAGCTCGCATCACCAAACTTGCATAAAAGAGATCATACGATTGATTTAAATCAAGTAGAGTGCTTAGTTTCAATATATAAATTATGCAAGTCTAATAAAGGCACATTAATTAAAATCATTAAGTTTTTTTTTTTTTTTTTTTTTTTTTTTTTTAATATGGCACAACATAAACTTAATTATTTCACAACAATATGCAGAGCTATAATACTGACTATTATAAACAGATGATGACATTTAAAGAAATAGGAGCAAATTGTTTTCGCCACATTGAGCACTTAAGGTAATGTTTACACACACACAACTAATGTGATATTAAAAAAATAAATAAATAAAAATACAGATCTTCGACTGGCCTTTGAATAATGTTGCCACATAGTCAAAAGTATAATGAAAAGATCCTCGCGGTTCGGATAAAATAAAAGGCAGTCGACGCTTGGACAAAGTGAATCGTAAAATTTTTTTTTCACTAATCGAACTTTTAAATTTACAAATTCTAGTCCTCGAAAGAAATGTACTAAGAAATTTATTTTGCGGTTTTCAGTTTTATTGAGATTCTGAATGTTAATATAAATTTATACTATCAATATGAGAAAACATTTCTAAAAAAGAGAAAGCAGACTTTAAATATATTAAATTTATAGCAACGTTTTTTTTCCTCTTCATGGAAATTACAGGAGTCTTTTTTTAAGGATGTTTTCATATCATTTATCATGGACTCTATGTCATTTGTACTTCTAGCCGGATTTTATTAAAAACTGCTGTAATACTGCAGTACACTAATTTGAAATTTGTAAGAATTAATAGTTTTAACACTCAGCAGTCAAGTCTTTCGTTGTTCAGTTATTTATCAACTATAAAACTGCTTCAGTTGGTTCCACGTTTTGTTTGTTTCCTTGAGGTAACATTGAGTGTTATGGGTTGGCATCACTTTTCCCAAAGTGAATTTAAATAGTAATTAAATGTCTGATATTATTTCATTTAATTATTTAAAATATATTATTTATTTACAGTTTAAGTAAAAATTTTGAGGTATAGAGTTACATTTTTATCTGTAAGTATTATTATAACAATTTTTTAACATTATTATATTTCAAATCAATCGTAGATTATGTTTTACATCTCTATTTTATAGACAGTATTTAATTGTTGCCTTCGAAATATTGATTATGTTTTTCTTATTAAAATTGGAATAGTATTTGCACATTGTGAAGTGCAGAGTTATTTTTTTAGAGGAAAATAAGCCTCGAGATAAAACTATGCATTATTTCACTTGTAAAGTATACCCTCTAAATTGTTTTTTTTTTTTTTTTTTTTTTATGCTTTAATTAATAACACAGTTAATTTGTTATGTAGTACTATTTTATGTCTTGAGTAATATTACGCTATTTATGTAATTATAGTTTGTAATTTGAGGAAATAATATTCTAGTTAGTTGTTCTTGTAGAACTAATCACACTAGCAAGTAATGGGTTGATGCCAAAGAGATGAAAAGTGCTCATAATTTTCTGTTCATGTTTTACCTAGTTTAGTTTGATCAGAACTGTTTGAATGTAATATTATTTAGAACTGAATAATTGTTTTCTTTAATTATAGTTAAAGGTTTTGCATTTGCATGACTTGAAGTGATAAGTTGCATTGTTAATTTATTCATAAGAATTTTATAAAAATCACAACTTTTTCTCTTATTTGGGATTAAATTTTAAAAATCCGGAGAATTATCTAAGTGATTTAAAGTGTTTTAATGTAACTAATAAGATCACTTGATTTGTATTAGCATTTGTAGAAATTAATAAGGGATGGAGTAGAGAGAAGGCATTTCTTGTATTATCACGAAGTTGTTGTTTCATTTATCGCCAAGTGGTGGTTTATATATGGCAGCCTGAGTAGTTAAATGTTACGGAAACCCTATTATGATGTAGTCGTTTGCATGATTGCGATGAATTTGTAAGGGCATGTCGGCTAAAGTGCAGAATCGCCCACTTTTTGCAAGAGTAAAAAGAATTGGATTTTTGTTAATTTTCTTGGATTTTTTAAGTGAAAATAGGTCAATGTGTACATGGCTAAAGTCAAGGAAGTGTGCAATGCCATTTTTGTGCAATTCTGGCATTTTGTTTTAAGTGAAAATAGGTCGACGTGTACATGGATACCGAGTATGTGCAATTCTTATAAGCGCGGCAAGCAGTGGGCATTTCTGCACTTTCCCCGGCATGTCATGTGTGTTGGAAGTACATTGCTTGTTTTCTGGTTTAAATAGTAAAATGACTATATGTGTTAAGATTAATTTGAAGTTTCTGTACGATTTGGAAAAAAAGGACGAAAGAGCATTACTTGACTGGTGTGTAAATGAAGGTTTACTTAGTAGCCATTATTAAGTGTCCTGTTTGTAGGAAGGAAATACATATAGTCATATGATACAATGCTACAGAGGATATTTTTTACTCTTATTTTGTGAATTTATGTGGCGACGCCAGCATACAGATTCTAGTTCAGATACTTTTAGGAAGTTTTTTGATGCTGTTAAGGAATTTTGTTTGACTGAAGACGTGTTAATTAGTAAATAAGGTAAGTGCATATTTCCAATTTATGCACCAAACATGGCTGCTACACAAAGCCAAAATAAAAAGTCAAAAAATTGCACAAACTTGGTATCTATGTACACATTGACCTATTTTCACTTAAAAAAATTCAGAGATTTGAACAAACTGGGTATTGCGCACACCCTTTGTCCATATACACACCAATCTATTTTCACTTAAAAAATCAAAGGAGCACCTAATTCTACTCTAGAGCCAAACAAAAAAATGTATAATCTCAGTAAACTACATTTTAAATCAAACAATGAAATAACATAAAAAAGGAAATTCATCTTGTACCATCTAAGCACTACATAAAGGAAATATCCACTTACTTTATTTAGAAATTTCCGTGCGTTCAGTCCGTGACACACAAAATTTCTGTCACGGACTGAAGACACGGAAATTTCTTGAGCATCCAAAAACTTTCTTCAAACCATGTTTCTCCTTAACGGAATACTTTATATGGTGAGAATTTGAACCTTTCTTGCGACAAACCCATTCAAAGCCATCTGGACAATCTTTATGTTCTACCATACGCATTTCCTTCATACAAACAGAACACTTATAATTCCGGTGAATTACCTCCAACAAAGTTTCCTTTCTTCTGTCCTCAATCACTTCAAAAAAAAGAAGGGGTGGGGAAACTTCTGCTCTCTCGTTCTATACCACTGGCAGCCATTTTACAATACACAGTACACAATACACAATGTACTTCATAACTGACATCCAACAAATATTTTCCCATCACTCAAATGGTCAAATTCACCGCATTCACGCAACCAATCATGTCATAATAGGGTTTCCATAACATTCAACTACTCAGGTTACCATAAATGAAACAACAACTTTGCGATAACCCAAGGGGCACTCTTAAATATACCTTAACCAAAATGTATGTGGTAAATATATATATATCACTTTATGATTTTATTCCTCTGTGAATTATAATATGTAATTTCTAGTACAAATTGTTCATGGAAAACAGATATATTTTATGCAGTTTATCATTTTATGCATATTCAACAGTATCTTAAATTGATAAAATAGCTATTCATTAACACTCTACCTAGACTTTAATTTGCACTGAAACAGCATGGAGGTGTTTTGCTTTTCTCTCATCAGTAACTGAAATGAATATAATCCAGCTTCACGAGCAAAATTTTCTGCCATGACATCTTATCCAAAATAATTATCTTGTAGTTGAATGTATAACCCATATTTCAGTCATCTATATACTAATATTCATTGTAATTTTAATTTTTATAGAAAGAATATAATTCATTGTCTAAAATACTTTCCTGTTAAATGTTGATTCTTTAACTATTAGGTGGCATATTACAGATACATATTTAAGAATTACTTGTGATGAATCTAAGTACACTGCTTGACAAAATTAAAAGATAAATCTGAAAAAAAAAATAAATAAATAAAATAAGGTGACTGACTAAAGTTTTATCCAATATCCAATGGTATAATCATCTTTTGCTAAGTATCTGAACTGAATATAAAACCAGACTTAAGTTAGTGCATGAAGTATCCAAATTAAGTGACTGGTAACTTATTGTGACATGAATGCATGTTAGAATTTAGCTGTGTAGTGTTATTTAAAATTGTGATTTATGAGAGTGATCAGTATCTATCATTTGTGAATCAAGAGCATGTTTAAGTGAAGTGCAAAAATAATGGTTAATTGATAGAATTGAGTGAAAGTAAACACACATTGAGGTCACCTAAGATCTAAATATTTTCCAAAGTGTCAGATCAAGAACTTGGAATAGCTTTTTAAGCAGTGAATCAGTTAGCAGAAAGTGTGGTCAAGAGTATCAACCGCTTCCAAAGTCTCTGTGTTTCATTATTGGCTTGATGAAGCTATAAAGGTACTGCAAGAGAGTTTCTTCCGACTGCTACAGGAACTCGGAACAGCCATTTTTCTGCTGCACAAAGGATTTACAAGTTTGGATTTTATGCAAGAAAACTAGTTGTGGGGTCTCATTCACTTTATCTTCCAAAGCAGCCCATTTGGTGTCATTATGATCAATAGAGCCAAGGGAACTGGGACCTTGTACTCTTTACTAATGACTTCAGCTAATAATCTGAACTCTGATATTATATGTGTTTAGATCTGGAGAGCAACGAACACACAAACTGCTTTTCCTTATTAATGAGAGATCTAATTTCCATGGAAGAAGTTTTGTGGTTTGAGTTGGAATCATCAAAAATGGCTGCTCTGAACTGTATAAATTTGGGTGAAAGTTCTGTAATGAAATTATAACATCTAATTATCCTTGATGTCCAAAATTATTGTTCATTGCGTATTTAAGCATTTGTGTTCTGTGTCAAGAGAGAGGTGTTTGTCTTTATCTGCTGGTACCTTTACTGGTGCTTTAAATCTCTTGCTCTAACAACAAATGCACATTTTCTTAAATGTATCTCAGTTTTGTAAATTAATATTTTTAAAGAAGTGATGCCTTCTGCTTTACTAATATCTTCTACAAGGAAAATTAAACATAGGTCACTACTAAAATATTTTGTAATCTAAAATTTATTTTGTAAAATAAAATCATTAGTTTATTAGATAATTTATGGAGGTATATCAAGAGAATAATTCTAATATAGCTTTAAATCTTGCTATACAAAATATATTTATATGTTAAAGAAAGTGGAAAAACTATGGGTTCTTATATAGGTTATATATATATATATATATATATATATTTACTTTTTTTTTTTTAATTTTATTTATTAATTATTTATTTATTTATTTTGGTGAAAATGTGTTTTAGCCCACTGCTTGGCGATTTTCAGTAGCGCCGTTTTTTTTAAAATTGCCAGTAAAATCTCAGAATAGGTTGCATAAACAAAGTTGTGAAGGCGGAGCTATGTGACGTTCATAAATGGGTGGGACTAAGATCGTGATGTCACAATGTATTCTCTACAAATGTAGAAATAAGTATACTAAATTTTTTGTATTTTAAACTACTATAATACGGTAAGTGAATTGTAACAGTTATTAAAACTGTAAACAACGTTGCAGTCTGTCATACAGGGTGAATATTTTTAAGCTTTAGTATTTATACAAATAAAAACAGATTTTTTAAAATTTTAATTTCATATTGCAGAACATTTTAACTTTATCATCTTTACAAAATTACCTTATTGCTACGTAACGACACCATCTCTTACATACTAGTAAGTAAAGAATCTTCATTATTTTCTAAAAATTTTTAAGCTTTACATTTGTCACATTCTTGCCACTAGGTGGCGGGCATCTCTTCCTTTACTTTTGCTGTAATTAAGTTCCGAGAAGCAGTCGAGATTGGAACCGCTCTGAGGAGCGTAAAGACTCAGAACTAAAAATGTACTGTCTTAAAATAATTATCACCTACCTTGTAAATAGTGTATATTAGCGTTTTCTTTGAATAAATAATTAAAAGACAAGATGGCCTGCTAATTGTAATAGAAACTCTTACTGGAAAACGTGATTATTAGAAGCCTGGCGTCGAGAACACTGAAGATGCAGCAGGTAAGGAATTTTACATTAATTTTATTGTAAATAGAAGAACCTGATGCAACAACATTAATAAAAAAAGAAAAATATTTATTATTGAATATCAACATCATTCACAGCTTTCATTTCCCTGTTTCTTAAATTCCTAAACCACGTTCTATACTCTCGTATTAGATTTCTACCCATTAATAAATTTAAAAATCTAATTTCTCACACATAAAAAAAATATTAAAAATAAGCAGCTTTAAAGAGAAAGTTAAAAGAAAAAAATTTCACTTACCCTTTTCAGGAAAATGTGTTTACAAAAAAATTCTTTTTGAGGGGCTTTTTTTTTTTTTTAAATTTATGACGGGGGTGTGAACCTCCCCCGTCTTAAGAAAGTTTACTCCCGTTTTATTAAGAAAATTTAGTCCTTTTTATCAGGCCGTTTCCGGCGGATAAATCTTTATGATTGCCGCTTAAAAAGGCACGATAATGTTCATCACTTAGTGAGCGGTTGTGCCATTTTCGCCACATATATTCCGCTAAATATGAATAAAATTCGCCATCTACGTGGTTTGTATTTCGACGTAAATGGCATTTGATTCCAGACCAAGTACCCTCTATGGAATTAGTGTGTGCACCTGACTCGGGATCACGGAAGTACAGACTGTGGTTGACAGTCAGATGGCCATAACCTAAATTTTTTAGTCCACCATATGCCTTCCAGCAGTCTGAAACCACAGTTGATCCTGGCAACACCCATTCAACTATCACTCTCTCCAAACTCTCCTTTGATTTATTCTCAACCTCTCTAAAAAAACATCTGTTCGTTCCTCTTTATATACCACCAAATACCCAATGACTGTCCACAGGCTTTCCTCTTCCATACTTCATTTTCCCGAATTTGCTCTCATCCACTTCAACTATCACTCCTTCACCACCAATTGGAACACTATCATTTATCACAGTCGTCATACACACTTCTCTGCAAAACATAAACCAATCAACAACAGCATGTTCATGCACTTTCACTTCTTGAATAACAGATTCATTTCTTATTTTTCAAAAACCAACACCTCGTAATTCTCAAAATTTCACATATACTCAAATGGCTATGACTAAACCATGAACCTTTCCTTATACTCCTACAAACATTATGCGCATTCACTTTTCCTTGCTTTCTACATCGCCATTCAAATCCATCTATACTTCCCTTTCTCTCACAAAAACGCATATTTTCACCACATTTCAAACAACCAAAAAAATTAGCAATCAAACCAACTTTCATACACCATTCAATGACGGCATGTTTCCCTTGCACTTCCAATAAAGTAATAAATTTACATGTACATTCATACACTTCTCTCAGCATCACAGATAAATCCATAGCGACTGTTTATTTAACAAAATATATGCAGAAAAATGGCAAAAACACACAGATAAAACCACTCGCTTTATAACTACCACATAAGAACATTCAAACGGCAACTGAATTAACTGCTCAAATTACAAAGTAAAAATTCCAAAAGAAATCGTCTGCTTGGAAATTCTTTTTAACTGCAAGTATAATTTTGAAAGCATAAATTATCGTCTGCTACTTGACAATTTGTCTTCGGACATTTGTTCTCTCTCCAAAGAAATTTATTTGTATCTAGTTATTAAAACACGCTGTGAAAGCCATGGCTTTTCGATATCTAAAGCTACGATAGGTAATATTGTCAACGATATGAAATTTAAAAAAAGACAACAAATATAATGAAATTAAAAAACAAAATAAAATCTGAAATTTAAGTTTAAAACACAAAGTACCATTAGTTTTGCTTAAAAGCTACGTGTAATTCACAACAAATGCGAGAGGTTTAAACCTCGTAGAAATTCAAACATAGAAGTTTATTTCTCGCAAAATGCATGAATCATGCGAAGGATTCATTTGATAAAATTTATCTGCGTGCATACATGTTTTCTTAAAGAGATATCAGTCACTATGTATACCAGAAACAGTGTATAGAAAAGCCTGCTATACAATTTGAAGTCAATTAAATAAGATTAAAAAATCAGAGAATTACACAAACTTGGCATTGCGCACTGCCTTGCCTTTGTCCATGTGCAAGTCGATCTATTTTTACTTAGAAAACATTAGAGAATTGCACAAACTCGGCATTGCGTGCTACATTGGCTTTTCCCATGTACACATCGATCATTTTTCACTTAAACATCCCAGAATTGCACAAACTCGGCATCGTGCACAACCCCGGCATTGCGCACCACATTGGCTTTGCCCATGTGCGCATCAATCTATTTTCACTTAAAAAAACATCCCAGAATTGCACAAACTCGGCATCACGCAACCACATTGGCTTTGCCCATGTGCACATCGATCTATTTTCACTTAAAATAAATCCCAGAATTGCACAAACTCGGCATTGCGCACTGCATTGGCTTTGCCCATGTACATATTGATCTATTTTCATTAAAAAAAACATCAGAGAATTGCACAAAGTCAGCTTTTCCAACCTTCTAGGATTGAGCCAAAAAGAAATACAAAATATTAAAAATAAGCAACTTTAAAATGAACCATACAAGAAAAATTTGTTCACTTACCCTTTTCAAGAAAAATGTAAAGTCTTTCACCACATAAGAACATTCAAACCACAACAGAATTAACAAGTAAAAATTTTTAAAAAATTTAAAAAAAAAAAAGCTTTTAGATTTTACATTACGCCCAAAGGGGCGTTTTTTTTTTTTTTTTTTAATGTTTTGTGTGTTGCCTTTCTTTATCAAATATAATGTTCTTTACACTTAAACCATAAAATTCAGTTCAACAGCAATATCGCAAAATAATTTTTAAATGAGCATATCTTTAGAATTTCGAATACACAGTTTTGCACTCTGCACGTAAAAATGATTTTTTTTCCCCCATACTGTGTTGCCGTTGCTCGCTTTGAAATCTTTGAGTTTGCTAATCAAAAATTCATTCAAGTTTTACAAAACATCAATCAGATAATAAAAAAAATTCCAAGTTTGGGCTTCCAGTTGCCCATATTAGGTTGGAAACGTATGTTATTCAAAATTTGATGGCTCTAGGTACCATTGTTTTATCACAATGCAAGAAACATTTATACAGATTTTTCAATATTTAATTTCTTTAAATATAATACAGGGCGATAACATTTAGTGGCAACAGCATAACAACACAGCTTCAAAACATCGGGTTAGCCATGTTGGCGCGTTTATTGCCTATTGAAAACAATCGCCAAGCAGTGGGCTAAACCGCATTTTAACCTAATTATCCTTGATGTCCAAAATTTTCATTGCCTATTTAAGTATTTGCATTCTGTGTCAAGAGAGAGGTGTTTGTCTTTATCTGCTGGTACCTTTACTGGTGCTTCAAATCTCTTGCTCTTACAACAAATGCACATTTTCTTAAATGTATCTCAGTTTTGTAAATTAATATTTTTAAAGAAATGATGTCTTCTGCAAGGAAAATTAAACATAGATCACTACTAAAATATTTTGTAAAGTAAAATCACTAGTTTATTAGATAATTTATGGAGGTCTATCAAGAGAATATTTCTAACATAGCTCTAAATCTTGCTATACAAAATATATTTACATGTTAAAGAAAGTGAAAAAACTTGTGGGTTCTTATATGGGTTATATATTTTTTTAAAGTATGTTAAATAATTTTTTATTGTTTTATAGGTTTGATGAGAATAAAGTAAATATGTTTGATCCTGATATTGCATTTAATTCCATAGAAGAAGAAAAGAGATTATTACAAAGATTTAGCTATTAAATATGAAAAAAAGTAAGATTTTTATTACAAAAAATATATTATTTTAGCAATTGTATTTCCTTAAATTATAATTATTATGTAACTTGTTAATGAAATTTGAGTGCAAGTTACCTTATGATCATAATTATTTCGCTAATCTTTGGAATATGGTAACAGGTAGTTTGGCGACATTTTGGTAAGGCGATAAAAGTTACTAGCTAGGACTTTAGCAGTGTACATGGATAAAGTCAAGAGTGTGCGCAATGTCATTTTTGTGCACTTCTGGGATTTTTTTTTAAGTGAAAATAGGTCGACTGTACATGGATGATACCGTGTATATGCAATTCTTAAAAACCCGGCAAGTAGTTTGCGATTTTGCACTTTCTCCCAATTTTGCACATAATCTTCGTCATGGTTAATCACTTTTGTTCCATAAAAGTTCTACCATGAGCGTAATTGGGCTAGCAGATTGTTGGAAAAACATGTTGAGTAAAAGACAAAAAAAAAAAAAAAAGCCTTTGCTTTGTGAAAACAAAATGGCGTCCAAACAAAAACTAGCAGGTTGCTGTAGCAGGGTTGGTCACCAAATTTTCGCCAAAAAATCGCCAAGTTACCATAATCCAAAGATTAACCAATTATTTTCAATAAATTTAGTGTAATTGTGATCAAGTTTTATCCATTTAACATTTTATTTCATACTTCTGTTTATGCCTTTTACTGCTGATTATCAAATTTTTAGATGGAAACAACATATTAAAAGTGTGTTGGTATAATAAAAGTATATTGGTATAATAAATAACAGATATTAAAATTTTAAAGGATATATATATATGTATGTGTGCGTGTAGATTTAAAGGATATTCTGCTTTATATTATCCATTAGGATGATCCTTGAGACTAAAATTTCTTATTAAAAATCATTTGCAGAAATGTAAGAAAAGTAGGGGAAGAAAGGCCAATTATGTGAGTGTTTCCATGAGACATAAGATATTTTTTATAAAGGTTATTGAATCTTTGCATTGCAACAATATGTATCTTAAGAAAATGATTGCATTGTCATTGAACTTTGAGTGAGACATGTGAGTGATGAAATTATCTTCCTTCTTCATATTTTCTCAGAAGAGCAAAACTACTATCACATATACTTTGACCAAGCTCTCTGTACTGCATGGAGAGCTATAAAAGTTTTTGCATTGAAGCTAAGTTGAACATTATTTGAAAAATATAAAATGGATGCAGTCAAATTAGTATCTGCCTGAAATTCAGTTTATTGAACTCTACAATTTATGTCATATTAAAAAAACTAATCTGCGTATGAAAAGAATTGATATGAAAATAGTTGAAAAAGATATAACTTGGAGATGTTGTAGATGTTGCTGAAATGGTTCATCTTTCAGTTAAACTGTAATCTGTCAATATCTAGATAAAAGCCAATGAATTTGCTAAACACTTTTGAAGAGACTAGAAAAGAACTAATAATGAATTTAATAACTGTATGAAATTAATCATTGCTATTAAATGTTAATCAGATTTTATATATATATATATATTCATCATTCAAATTTTACATGTTTCTGTGAAATAATCCATTTTTCTTATTGGATCGGATATAGCAAACCAAACTTTTGGTACCTTGAAGTTTGTTATAGTGGAGTTTAACTGTATTTAAACAGATTGAAGTACTGATTAATGTGTATGAGCTTTTGGCAAGCAATGACTGCAAGAATAGGAATAATAGTGAACCTTTTTTAAATGCTTTAAAATTTAAATTGGACAGAGAAAGGTTAACTGTAGTACATTTTACACCAAAGTGCATTACAGAATTGTGACATTTAAATTTTCGTGCATTGTGTGAAAAGTGTACTTCCTTTGCATCAACTTATGCATTGGGTTTTTTAACCTCTTAAATGACATAACCAGTGTTTCATAAAGGGTAGGATTTTGCCTTTTCTCAAGGCACAAACAGCAGGATGCATAAATCAGCATAAATCATGTGAATCAGTGACTCTTGGTTTCTGACCCTGTTTTATATATATATATATATATATATATATATTATTATATATTTATATATTTTATATATATTTTATATAAGTCTCCAATAAAATTCAGGTTCATAGCTAATAGTACCAAAAGTTATCTCAAAGAAATAGATTATCTCTTTGCACAAAACCTTCGTATAATACGTGACCTAATTAATAACTATGATTTTGAGGGTCTGCATTGCAACTGGATGATCTCTAATAAGGAACTAGTTCTTAAAACTATGACTTCACTTAAAATAGACCATATCCATTGCTACGACTTTGAAAAACTCTATACTTCTCTACCACTTGAAGAAATTTTTACAAGTTTACTAGCTCTTCCAGATTTATTTCCGCAAATTTCTACCATTCTCAGCAACGAAAAATGGCAACTATTCCTCTCCAGCATGCTCTTCAATAATTTTATTCAATTTGACAATAGCATCTATAAACAAGTACAGGGAATCCCTATGGGCGGTAATTTTTCAAGCTCTGTCTGTGAATTATTCCTGTTTACAAAAGGATTGACCTATGTCCATTCACTCAGTACAGAAGAACGTATCTTTTACCAACACATCTATAGATATATTGATGATGTCATTGCATTTAATAACTACAACAAAATAGAAGTTGCTAATATCTACCCTGCATGCTTAAAACTAAATAAAACAAATACAGAACAGCATAATGTAATCTACCTTGATTTACATATTATAGATTACAATTTTATTAAAGTTTACGACAAAAGAAGAGAATTTAATTTTTCCACACTTAAATTAACTAACTGGAATTCAAATATTTCCAAAAGAGTCATACTCAACACAATTTATTCACAGATACTCAGAATAAAAAGAATTTGCAATACTGCAAAACACTTACAAGAAGAAATACTATACTTCGTAACTATTTTGAAAAGTAACCTAATTCCTCATAAAATAATTAAAAATACCCTAACAAAAGCTGGCATTAGCCTTACCTATTTTTAGATTTTTTGAATTAGATTATGATATTTTATGCCTAAAGCCCGAAGGACGGTTTAAGATGGATGACTGATTCAGAGAATCTAATGTAAAAATGTACAGATAATTCTTGTTTATTCATTCTCTTTCCTCCAAAATTTTGGCACTTTACTTTTAAATACTATTGTGTAAATAGTTTTAAATTTCTATAATGGCCAATTTTACTGCTTTTATTAACAAATTGGGCCTTTTCATTTTTCATAGTAGCTTGATCGCCCGCTAGCCTAGAATTACGACTTTTTTAACAAATGACTGTTTTTTCCTTTTACTCTTGCTTTTGTGGCCAAGTTTTTGTAGTTTTAGCTGAATTAGCCATTTTAACTTTCAGTCACAAATTTTTCCTTCCAACTACATGTCAGGCGCCATTTTTGAAATCTTTTCGTGTTTTTCCGAGTTTTCCGACCCCCTTCGATAATAGGAGACGAGTTGCAGCTAACGGAAAAATCTCTTTGTATTGGCTGATGCCCACAGAACTTCGCTCCCCCCCACATACGTCACAAGAATGAAGTACACAGAAGGGAATTACAACTACTTTTCAACTAGTTTTAAGAGAAGAGCTCTGCATCGCCACAGGTCAGTTTTTTGTTTCTTTTGTTACAACTTTTTCTTTTATCTTAGCAAGACCCACTTTGTTGGTTATCATCTTAATTTTCCTTTATTTTAATTACAGATTTTCATTACAGATTTCTACAATATATAAAATTGTTAATCTTTAAGCTTGCAGGCCCAGCCCGTATGTTTTTTTATATTTAGGACTAATAGCAGACCGCTATTTATTTTTGTTTTTATTTTTATTTTTATTTTAGTCTAGATTTAAGATGTTTCGGAATAGTTTTAACATATTTTAACACCTTAATGTGTCATTTTGTGCGGACGCGTCGGGAAATTGGAACAGAGAATTGAGACTATTAAAATTTTCCAAGACACTTTGTCTAAATTAAAAAAATTTTGTAGCGAAAAAGTTTCAATTGTCTGTTTCGGCGAAACGCGTAATGGGGTTAGCTTGATTCGACATTCAAACAAATTAAATTTCCCTTGAAAAGCCAGTTTGGAAGTCGAGTTAGGCTAATTTACCATTTTCCGCTTACTTTTTTATCTGATTCTGTTTTTTAATGTTTTACATGTTTAATGGTTTGATTTTTATATGTATTAATTTTTTAAAACGTGTTGAACTTTTTGGAGCAACAGCTCCTGGTAACTTTTAGGCAAGCTTACTACAATTTCTATTTTACTATTTCTATTTTGCAGCATATTGCACAAGATGTTTTCTAGACCAAATTCAATATTGTAATTACTACCTTGCTTGATATATATATGGCTTTGCATTTATTGACTCAATCCTTTAACCCATAATTTTTTTGCTCAGAACAGGCCATCCCTAGACAAGATTTGATACAAAGGCGAATTTGAAAATTTTTGGACATAAATGATTTTTGTTCTTAACCAGTTCAGTTACATATGTAAATGATAATTGTTATATCTTAATATTGTTTATATATTTATATATGTACTGACCTTGGAATAAGAAAATGTAAAATATGATTTAATTCTCCTTTAATTTAAAACTTGTGTTATTATTATTCTGCTCATAACTGAATTAGTAAATAATAATGTAAGCACAGCTTGTGAACAATAAATTCTTACAATTTAATCTAAACGCTTGAGGGATTTTCCGAAAGTGTATTTTATATTCATGTAGCGTAGCACTGAACTTATCACATCTAAATCATCATCTGATTCATTATATATCTACTTAGCAATTTTGTAAATATATGTTTTTGTTACTAATTTCCAATTATAGATCTTGGTACTGTTCTGTTATCAGGACCAGGTCCACAAATGTATGTGTATGTACGTATCTGTGTGTGTACACATATATATATGTACGTGCATACACTTTTGAATCTAGTCCTGATAACAGCAGGGTACCTAGATCTTTTCTGTGCAAAGTTGAATGTTTTAATATCTCTAATTCTGCTTAGCATAAAGGATTTTCATTGTACATACTTTTTTGTAGAATAATTTTCAGTTATGCCAAAACAACTTTTTTTTTTCTTTTGTATGCTTCTTTCATTCTTATATATTAATAAAGAATAATATATGTAAGAGGGTCGTCAGTACATGTATACAGTATGAACGTGTTTTGGAATTAAATTCTTTCCTTATCAATCATCTCTTAAAAATCTACATACTTGTAAAAAGTAGCTGAAACGAGTTTTGCCACTCACCTGATTATAAAACATGGTTGTATTTTGATATTTTTATTTGTAATCATTCGCATTAAAATAATGCCATACACAATTTTATAATTCGTACATTGATGTTTTTAATAAATGATTCATTTCAGGTATCAGGAAACAAAATTAGATTTAGAAGAATTTCAAGAAAGTAGCAGAGAACTTGAAGCAGAATTGGAAGCTCAGCTAGAACAGACTGAATCACGAAATAAAGAACTAAAATCCCTTTCAAGCCGTTTGCAGATTGAATGTGAATCACTCAAGGTTTATATTACTTTTTTTCTTAAAAAATTTTGTAGTAGGTTGCACTTAATGTGATCATATTTGTCCATGACTATTTTGATAACATGAAACGATGAGAAAAGGATGGCTTTCAAAATAGATAACTAATTTAGAATAAAAAGAAACAAATAAAAAATCTGAAAATTTTTAGATTTTATGTTCTGCCCAAAGGGGCTTTTTTTTAATGTTTTGTGTGTTACCTTTATTTATTAAATGTGATGTTCTTTGCACTTAAATCGTAAAATTCAATTCGACAGCAATATCACAAAATAATTATAAAGAGCATATCTTTAGAATTTCTGATACAATCTCGCACGCTGGAGATAATTTCCCCCCCCCCATTCAGTGTTGCCATTGCTTGCTTTGAAAGCATTCAGTTTGTTAATCAAAAATTTGTTTAAGTTTTACAAAATATGAAATAGCTAATAAAACAAATTCCGTCTTCCAGATGTGCCCATATTCGAGTGGAGGATTACATCATTAAAAATTTGATGGCTGTTGATATCGTTATTTTATCATAATGCAAGAAACATACATACATTTATGCAGATTCTTCATAATTAATTTCTTTAATATAATAGAGGGGGTTAATATTTAGTGAAAACAATATGAAAAGTGATACAGCCTTTTAAAGTTTTCAATGCAAAATGCCAAAACGAAATTAATAGTCCTTCTGCACCCTTTGGGCTAGTAACCAGAAAGATATAAATAGGTGATTTCACAACATTTTAATTAGGAAAAGGGAAATAAATGTGTTTATGAACAATTCACAGTGTCTTTAATGCAAAAGTTGATTTATGAACAGTTCATAATATTTCTGGAGCCCTACCAATAGCTGAGTGGTAAAGTTACTGAACGCTAGTAGTTCTAACCTTAGTTCAATTCCAGGATTACAGCAGGCTGTATGAGTGTTTTCATGTGTTTTCCCATGTGTATATGAGTCATTTTCCATTAGAAAAACCTCCACAAAGGTATTCCTTCCCTTAGGTATACAGCCTTAGTATGCTTCACAATAATTAAAGAAACCAAACATTAAAACGTTTCTGGAAATAATTTCACCAATGATGAACCCCTAATATTATAATAGTTGGTGGCATTCTTTGTTTAAAGAGATCATGGCAATGTAAAATTAAAATTTAGGCACAAACTTGTAAATGTTTTCATGTCGCCTTCCCAGAAACAGAGTAAAGGGGAACACTCTTCTGAAGAAGAGTGTCCTGTATCTGCCTGCCCTCAAAATTGATAGATTTATTCAAAATCTATCCCAAACTAAAGTTGCTTTCTTTGCTTAATTTTAAATGGTTGTTTAAAATCAATCTGTTAAGTGATTTAGTCTCTTACTTTGTGATATTTCTCTGTAACTTGCCAAATTTTTATTTTGACCTTATTAGGTGACTTTACTTCAGTTTAAAAAAAATATTCTTTAATATTTTGATCATATTAACTTAATTGTAGATCACAGTAAGCAATGTATTTTCCATGTTTTTTTATATATAAATGGATGGCAGTTCGATAACTGAATCTTGACAACTGAAATAAAGTCAAAGTACGAAAATGTTTATTTTACAGTAGACTGCAGGTTTCACAAGGTACAAGCAAGGCTATTTATTTAGTTCTACAATCTAATTATTATATTAACTTGACAAACATTTCTTAAATCTAGTATCCCATTTCAGAGCATTTGGTAAGCTTACATGCATGTTCACGCTAAGATAATTTATTAATTCAAAATTCCCATCGTAAACTTGAGCACTTTGTTATCCGCTTTTAATTAATGAAATTTACATTTGTTTATATGGGAACACATAAATGTGATATACAGTCAAAAGTCGTTAATTCGGACACCCATAATCTGGAAGGATCTATAATCCGGACCTCAAAGCTACAAACTTTCTGTGCGTCGCATTGACGCATGCGCGTAAGACTTTTACGGCTACGAATATAGATGTGTGCATGAGCATAATACATTTGTGCTTGCATGTTTAATGTATAACGGATGGTATAAGCAAAGCTAAAATTATCTAATTCAGTTAATGTTGCAGATTGCATTGTTCCTGAATCTTCGAATTGGATCCGGCTTATAATTTTTTGCAGACTGTTAGAGCAATTTTATAAAAGTAAGCTTGAACTTACGATTATGTCAAATAGAATTTCCGATATATATTTACTAATATGTAAAGGATCTACAAAGCAAAAGTATGGTTCGAAGTCCATTAAACAAAAAGTGGAATTGCTGCAAAAAATGGATAAAGGCATATCCTTTGTTTCTCTAACCATTCCGAAATCTGTTTATCAATTTCATGCTGCTCTGCGGTGGGGGATGGGGGGAAACGCCGCGGCACGCAATGAATTGGAAGTTGATCTATCAGCACTATCCTTATCTTCAGGGCAGATGTTTTTATTTTATTTGGCTTATAATTCCTTACTAAATGTAGTATTTCATCTCGATGTACTCCGTCTTTGATATGATTTAAATCAAATTCCTCGTCATTACAATTCACTTCCGATAGTGAAGAAAGTGACACAGAGGTTATTGAAAACGAAAAAATTTCGATTGACAAATTAGTCGGTATTCTCGACACAGCAATTATAGGACTTGAACAGCGGAACTTTATAACTGAACAAGAAATTATGTCTGTTTATAGAATTAAAGAGAAAGTATTATCACATAAAACAAAGCAACTTAAACAACTTACATTGAAAGAAATGTTCAATAAATTAAACAAATAAATATGAAGTTTTTTTTTTTTTTTTTTTTTTTTTTTTTTTTTAAATTTTGATACCCTTTAGATCATAATTGCTCTTTATTTCATAAAATACAGTTTCATATTTTTAATTTTATAATTTCTGCATGCCATCTTACTAGATTTAAACTGATGATCTATAATCCGGAAAAATCGATAATCTGGAATTGCCGAAGACCCAACGAGTCCGGATTAACGACTTTTGACTGTATAATACTGAATATTTCAGGACAAAGTATCACATTAAAAATTCATCATGTAACTGGAATTCCTGGTTCTTCAGCAGCAGTCTAAATGAATATGATTAAGTTGTACATATTGCTGAAATTTTAAGAACTCTTTAATCTGAAAAAAAAATGTCATAAAAATATGTTTACATAATAACAGAGTATTTCATGACGACTTCTCTTAATTTCTTCTCTTACATTTTGATTTGAAAAAGGAAAAAGTCTTTGATATGTTTCTACAAATAACCAATAGTTGTGGATATCTCTCAACAAATAACCAAATGATATGTTTCTACAAACAATGAATAGTTATCTTTTTAATGCGAATGCAAGACAGTTTCCCTACAAAGACCTATATGAGAACTTCCCTTTGGTGGATAGCTATCACGGGCTTCACTTTTATCAGATCATTCACATGTTGGCCCTGACTGTATTGCATAAATCTTTCTATAATATGAACTGTTGTGAAGAACCAAACTAATCTTATTAACATCTTTTTACGTTTTACTCAAAAGCTGCATTAAAAATTATTTTTAATATTCTAATTGTAAAAGAAGCAAACTCTGAAATAAAATTCTAAATGAAATTTTATGAAGACAAAAGAACATTTGATTTAGTAACCTTGTACAATCATTATTAAAGCATCAAATATTCAAAAGTTTATTCCGATAACATTATAATTTGTACAAACTTAATATTTTTACACAAAATATTATTTACGCATCAAATAAAATACGTATTATTAAATCACATTCTAACAACTGATACTTATTGATTGTGGTAAAAGAAAATAAGAAATCGTAAAAACACAATATTAAGAAGATTCAAGCATTGCAGTAAGAATCTAAACAAAGTGTTATAAAGACTAAAATATATCCAATTCTGTAACCTCATATAATCATTTCTAAAGCATCCATTTTCGAAAGCCTGATTTATGACAAAACTGTAACTTATACATATTCTAAATGCTTAATATTTGACGATTGATACTTGTTGATTTTAGTAAAGAAAATTTCTCTCTATAATAAGAATCTTTAAACATGATTGTAAGAAGAAATAAACAATTACAATAAAAATCTAAATGACATTTCACAAAATAAAAATATTTGTGATATAATGTTATATAACCTGTACTAAAGTATCAAAACAGTGTTTAGACATTAATTCAAATGCATTACTGAATTTTCATATTTTTTACTTCAAGGGGAGCGGGAACCTAGTGTCTCTGCATGTTATCTTCTTGTTTGTGCAGCTTTCAAAATTATTTCTGTCTTTGTGAATTTTCAACTTTATTTTTTATGGTACTCCTTTTTTATTATTGCATGATTATAAATGAAATAATAATGCAGATATGAGTGAAATAATAAGCAGATATCTACTTTCTTAAGCTTAGGAATTAGCAGGGGTAAATATTTTCACATTTGAAATTTGCTATATTACTGATTGATTAAGTATTCTATATTTCTTTTTCTTTCTTAAAATTTTTATTCCATTTATTTGTTATCTTTTATTCTAATAGTTTTTCAAATACGAAAGGTATAAAAAAAATAACTTTCATTTCGAAATAAATAAATTCTTGCTTTATACTTTAAATTCTTTCATCTTTTTTCACTATTAGTTTTTTCTCCCTTTTATTTTAAGTATATTTTTATACTTTTGTAGTTTCATTATTCAAAGATTTTTTTAACTCAGAAAGTCTATCTTTTAAAGCTCATTTTCATTAATGTTTGAATTTTGAGAAAAATGAAAGTGTAAATGCATACAAAAAAAAAAGTACTCTTTTTCTGTTTAATGCTCTCTCTTGTTCCTAAGCAATTATCACCATAGGAGTGTCCCCCCCCTCCAATGGTTGGGCCTTTCTGTGAAAGATTAGGATCAAAGCCTGCAAAGAAAGAAAGAAATCGGCATTCTGCAAGAAGCCTTGACCCCCACTGAGTAAAATAACATCCAGGAAGTTTTATTTTAACATAAAATGATTTGCAAAATCCAAATGGAATTGATTTTTAAGAAT